AAAGATGCCGTGCAAAAACTTCATTTTTCGGCTGTACGTAAATTTCTCGCAAGGTTTCGATGGCTGATTCATAGTCTTTGCAGTCTTTGATGAATCGGTAAACACTAGGGGAGACGTAATTGAACAAGGTTTTCAGTTTATCTGGTGAATGAGAACCGATTGACTCTAGGAAGTTTGTGAAAGTACAAAACCAATGCTCCCAGGTATCTGCCGAGTCTTGAGTATTGGGGTCGGTATCGAATCGTTCAGGACGTAAGAATCGATCCATTGTTCGAAAACTTTTTTGGATGAATAAATTGTTGTGTACGACGAGGGTCGGAGTGCAACGACAATCAGAATGACAATGGAAAAGACTGAGGGCCCGAAAGCCATGCTTTATTCATCCAAAACTTTGACACTGGGAGCTGGAAACGGAAGAAAGTGATTTAGCAACAAATGATGAAACGTTTGAAAAACAGAGCAAATATATAACAGGTATGTCAACGAATCTTTCTTTTCTGACAGTCGAGACATTACTTAGACCAATTACGGATCTCTTTTTGCATGCTTGGCCAAACGCATCTTTGTGACACATGCTTGGCAATCACCCGTATACTCGGATGAGATAGTGCGTAAAAGCGGTCGACCATAAAACGTCTGTATTTTCCATGTACAGAAGGCCTTGGATGTCCTTTGAATCTGTCAGAAGCAATAAGGCTATCAGAGTTAAGAAGCGGTAATTTGACTAACTTAGGGATGTAATGCTGGAAAAAGGTTGGAAATTCGGGTCCCGACTGCTGAGCGGAAGCAATGGCTTGTAGATCGTTAGGAGTCGCTGCGATGTGGTTTACCTCTATGCGGAAAAGGGCATCAGCAACAACACTGTCAGAACCTTCGCTATAGCTCAAGTCAGTTGTTAACTGATAAATGAAATCCAGCTGTCGGTTCTCTCTCGGTGAGTCTTTGTCCGGAGATGATCTCAAGGCGAAAACGAGAGTCCGTCGTCAGTATAAATAGTGAAGTTTCTTCCCTCGAGGATGTGTCAAAAATGCTTGACAGCCAAGTAGATCGCCTAGAACTCCTTAATAAAAGTGCTCTACCGTGTCTGTCCAGGTTGCAATTTACGGGAAAAGAAGCAGAGTTCGAATGCTGTTGTTGATCACATGTTAAAGATTTGCACTGACAGTGATTTGTGATGCGTCCGTCCTCAAAATAAGGTGACAATCAGAACTGGGGTTCAAATGGCTCAGGGTGGTGACTTTCAAAAGAGCGGCTTTGATGGAGTTGAAAGCGGTTATAGCTTCATCAGTGAGTTGTAACCGTTTGGTGTTAGCTTTGGGCAAGTCAGTTAGTGGTGCTAGAATTTATGAGCAACGTCCAATAAATCTACCTTAATAATTGACCATACCAAAAAACACTTGTTTGGGTTAATCTGGATACCATATTTTCATAAGCTTTCGATGACAACCTGTAAGTGTAATTAGTGTTTCTCGGTTGTTTTGCTCGCCACCGAGACGCCGTCAATGTAGACAAAAACGTTGTCCAAAACTCGCTGTACCTGATCTACGAAGTGTTGCAACTTCTGAGCTGCGTTCCGCACACCGAAAGACGCGTGTGAATTCGAATAGCCCGAATGGTGTGGTAATCGGTGTTTTCGGAATGCCGTTACGGGCAGGGTAATTGGGGAGTCAAACTATTTCCTCCAAAATCGAATTTGTCCGCGCGTGTTACCATATACCAGTTGCCTGCTTCCAGCGTCCATTTTGAAGAACTAACACATCAGTTCGTGGCCAAATACTGCTATCTGCTACGGGTAACACGGCCGTCACGGCCACAGACATTTTGAAATCATTTTTCAAACCCTGTTGCCTTGTTCATATACCAGCATTTAACGTGTACACTGTGAGACAAGCTGTAAAACAGACTGCTGTTGCATGTACACTAAGCTCGCTTCCTGTCACTGCGTGCTGTCGGTCCGAAATGAGGACTCAAGAACGATTGTTGAGCTGACTTACCCATCGGTTTCCGCTCACTTCTGTTTTCTCACATTTAATTATCCGGAAGCTGCTGCTGGTTCTACTGTTGTTGTCATTGTTGTGAGCTCCCGAGCATAAAGTTTGTCCTATGGAAGTCGCCTCTCTGCTGTTCATTCGACAACGTTTGTGAGACTATCCCGTAAACGGGCCTGGCAACCGCACGAACTAGCCTTACAGTAATCGAAAAATCAAATTTTTTTATTCATCATCATCATCGTCAGTTGTAATGACCGCGTACTCGTCGTACAGTGGTTGTAGCTGCCGCAGTTTTGGCCGATTGCCCGGCAGTTTTATCATTTTCTGGCTCAGTGGTTGCAGCGCGAATTTACTGACCGGAAGGTCCGTGATTCGAACCCGACCTATGCATTTCAACTTCTCCTGTCTAGGCTTGGGCAACCTCGAAGTATCCCAGTCCTCGTGCTTCAGATGCTTTCAGGTGGCATGGCAGCTAGGCACCGAAGGGATGTTACGGCTGAACGATTTTTTGTCGGTTGAAACGCTGCTTCACTCATGAGAGCCCTCCGCAGGGCTGTTTTTAAATTGTTAAGAAACCGACTGTTTCGGTCTCTTCAATCAACTGTCATAAATACGGTGTTTGACGCACAATGGACGCCTTCTTGGTCCAACGATGATCTGATTTACGTTGGATATTTATGACATCCGAAATCAACTGACGATTCGAGCTGATTCGAAGCAAGGGTGAGCGACTGGTATGGATGCTCACTATATTTGATATAGACTCAGTCATTTTTGAGATAATATTCCGCTTATTTCCAATAGCACTGTGGATCCGCATCCACTTACTTGAAACGGATCTTTTCTTGAGGCTGTAGTATATCGTTCCCCTTCGGGCTTGTCGTTATTGTGGTGCCGTTTGAAACAATTCAGTTCAGATGTTCATCTGCGATACGATGATATTAACCATCGGTGACTCGCATCCTCTCATCTGAGGAGGCGTCAAACATTATCAGGTTTCCAACGTATTTCAGCGTTACATATCGGGTGCTTCTGCTAGCTTCGAGACAATGCTTTGGGACAAAGATAATCAACTGCAAGTAGATTTCGCACACCTTCTCAAAAAGGTCTATTACTTAAAACAGTATGGATCACATTGTCGTAGTGTGTACTTTGCCAGTGACAAGCAAACTGGTTTCACGTTGTTGCTATGGCTGTTGGAGGTAGAAAAACCTCCCCTGGGCTCCCCAACTGGGAGGCAGTGATGTCCTATTCTGTCCCTTCAAAAAGAAAAATTTCTCTACGTCAATTGGTTCATCTGCAAATATGTGGCTCTGGCGTACTCCCACAAGTCTTTTAATGGGTCTAAAGCGCATTCCGAACCGAGCAGCCGAATTGGTTGTTATTTAAAAAAACTTGAATTTCCGAATGGTCCGATCAAAGAGGAGCAATATCGTCTGTGTAGTGTCTGAGCGGACGCCCTGGGAGCATTCTGACTCCCGGGAGGGGGTGCAGATAGACGTAGAAATCCCAGGCCGTATATTGATAACATGGGTGGCAGTCTTTTTAGACGTGATTGAAGGTCTTTAACTCTATCATTCCTCCCACTCCTGAATATTCTACCTTTTAGTCAATTTTGTTGTCGGTCTGATACTCTACGTTGATGTTTTTTAGGTAAGTTCATTTCAGACACGGTTCCGATTCTGAAGAGACGCTTGACCGAGTCTGTATTGTCCTTTGCTGAATCTCGGACCTTCTTCCTAACTAAACGTCCCGCGTCAAGTTCAGATTAATATCCTGCAACTTGTCCCCGTTTCTGTGTGACTCCGACAATGCTCTTGTTCAGGACAACTGCTGTTCCTGGTCTGTCGCTAATCAAAGCGTGTCTTTTAGCCCTGCTGTTTGTGGGCCTTCTTAAGTCGTGTGTCAGTAATGATAGCTGATTGCAGATGGATGTCGACGCTTCTAAACGGTTCCCAATGAAGGCGAAGTGCGTTCACTTCCCTTCCGGTGGATCCTTTGCAAGACCTATGGGATTCGATAAGAAAACGAACTTGGTCCAAAAAAGGTAGAAACCAAGATGGACCTGGAACCCTGGTCTTCATTCGATTTCTTCAGTCAGTCACAAAACACCTTCGGGAAGTTTACATCTATCTGGGTGAGATGGCTCAATGGTTAAAGCGCGAATTTACTGACCACCGGAAGGTTCGTGGTTCGAACCCGACCTCTGTATCTCAATCCCCCTGTCTAGTCTTGGGTAACCTGGCAGTATCCCAGCCCTCGTTTTTCCTCCAGGTGGAATAGCAGTTAAGCACTGAAAAGATGCTACAGCTGAACGATTACATTGACCTCCAGACGATCGAACACCCCCTGTTAATGAGCACACATCCGATGATTTGGAAATTATACCGATATGGTCGGTATAGACTTCTCGGTGGCTTGACTGAGAGCCTTCACGTAAGGCTGCTATCGAAAATGAATGCCTCTGGGATGAAACATGGCACTTTATGCCGTGTCGAACTTTTAGGTGCCTACAACTTTCTATCACCATCATGCGCTTTCCACAATCCCGCATCCTTCTTGCTAGACCGTCCGATTCCTATACTTGATTTGTGTAAATGACACCAAGGTGTGATGAGAAATCGCTAGTGACGATGCCCCAGACATTCCTCAAAACGACTTCGAACTCTTTGTAAACTTGCCAAAGGTTTGAGTCCCATCTCAATATGGAGGAATATGTCACACACAATGATAGAGGCTTTAGCGTCAAGCACCCCAAAGTTATTGGTCTGTCTCCTGGTGTTAGCCGGAGATGATTTGGCATCCATGAATGTGTCATCCGGCAAGCTTACTCTGGCGAACCGTCAGAAAAAAAGTTTAACTCTCGTTGATGCAGCCGTTTAGAAGACGAACGACCTTAAGCTGTTCACACGTGTTTTTTTCTTTGATCCGCTTATATTTTTTATTTTTTTACAATTATCTGCAGCACAATAAAGTTGGCAGTTTCAAACACATAAACTACCCTGAAGAATGCAAACTCAGTACATTGCCCTAGCCTGGTTTCTCATCCTGGTCACAGTTGGCGTAATCGTGGTTCTTAGCATTGCCATTGTGGTCAAACGGCGAGTTGCTCGCCGTAAAAGTCGAATTGATCGTGGAGTTTACACACCGTATGGATATGGACTATCAAAAGTAAGTGGCACGTTTCATATGCTTATCTTGATTCTTTTAGATTTGGAAAGAGCGCGTTGAACGGCACCTTAACGGAACGGTGCGCGTGCGCACAGAACCTCGCGTTTTCGGTACGCACTACAGTGAATCGTTCGATATGTACCAGAATAATAGTACGCTTCTCGTTCTTAATTGACACCACTCTCAACCTCTACCTTTCCAGAGCAAGTAGGATTTTTATACCGTGCAAAAGCGGTGGATGAATTTTTGAAGTTGAGTGCGTCACTGTTTGCTCCAATTCATAACCATATCTTCGTATGTAGAAGAAAGTATCTTAGCTATTTGCCCTGGTATGGAAGCCCCTCCCATACGTGGAATACATGCCTTTTTGATGACAGCTCGTGATGATGCTATGAACCCACCAGCTCCACGGGAACGTATTGAAGAATACTGTCGCTTATATCTGTGGGCTCGCCATGATTTGGACGTAGGTGTTAATGAAGTCACCCGTTTGATTTCTGTCCTCTAGCCCTTTGGTGAGGCTGAGTACAAAAAATTGTGTGAGGTTCAAAGTCACCTGATGGCCCAGTAAGTCCACTTCAAAACCATCCGATCGAATTTCGTGTATAGAAGCTCTTGTCTCATGTGTTTTTTCTCTTTCTCTCCCAGGTTGCTCGTGGAGGTTCAAAGTCACCTGATGGCCCAGTAAGTCCACTTCAAAACCATCCGATCGAATTTCGTGTATAGAAGCTCTTGTCTCATGTGTTTTTTCTCTTTCTCTCCCAGCGTTGCTCGTGCTGCTGCGCTGCATGACTCCGGTGCCTCCAACACTCCAAGCACAACGTGTTTGCGTAGAAACTCTGCGAAACATTTTAGTATGGGTCGTCTGCACCATAACCTAAAAGCTCATGCCGGAAAATCATCTGACGTTCTATGCACCCATTCACGCTCTTCGACCAAGTCAGACCTCACTCGTATGGATCGAACACACTCCTCTTTGAAATCCCCAGCGAATATTTCATTGAAGAGGCTATCTCATGGTCACCGAAAAGGACATGAACTGCTTGTGTCTCTTGGTGAACCCCCAACCGAACCTGCTGTCACAGTGAGCACGAAGTCGGCCCAGGCAGTTTATTCTAAGCCACTGGTTCGATCTGATACCGATGGTATCCCATCGGTCAATGTTAACTCCGCCAACACCGCTGGCCAAAGCCGTCGGGGCAGTTGTCAAAGTGATGGATCCCAAACTGCTTTGATCGATTTGGAGCCGTCTATAGTTAATCCGAAAAGCTCCACACAGGCAGCAAGAAATCCGCGTTCCAACGATGCTTTTGAAGTCGTGGAGAAAAAATCGATACTTGGTGGTAGGTTGAAAACTCGTTTTGTGTCGTGATTGTTGGTATACTAATTTGGCTGGTTGTCATCTCACCTTACGGTACCCTACGTTTCTTTTATTTCCACCCTTTGCTTTGTCTTCTGTGAATTTTTATCTTTACGTTACATAGGTGCATGTGCAGTGTTGTGTGTATGAGCCCTTCAAGACAAGGTCACTTCACCATGAGCGGAGTTTTTCCTCAGACCAACCACTCCACGAGCGCGTTTCTAAAGCAGACCACAACCGTCTGAAGAGACTTGGATTTCTCACGGTGCTTTTCACCTCGGTTTTTCTAACACTTGTGTTTTGTTATGCCCGTCCAGTCTACGTCTCAGGATCATGTCTACAGTCTCTCCTGCCTAAAGAAGTCACCCCACCAAACCGAACAGAGGTAGTCTCTTCCGTGACGCAAATTTTCTCCAACGGCGGATCAAAATTGAACACTAATAGACGGTCCACTTTACCATCAGTCCCGATTTTCCAATCTACGGTAGCATACATCATGACCTGGAGTGGCCGTGTCTCATAGACGCAGTTTGGATTAGGACTATGTTTATGCATGCTCCACTCAGTGCGTGACCTAATGTTTCATTCACTTTCATTTCAAGGCGGAGCGGTTGCTCTAGAAGGAGTCTGGATGTGCTTCCCCTATCCATCATTTTTTTATCTGTTCGGCTCGTTGCTAAAAGTTGTTTCTAGTCCCTCTACAGCAACTACCCGCCTATCCCAGCAACCTCTTGTCACTCTCCTTTATACGAATCGAGCTTGAGATAAATTAATACCATCTTCAAAAGAACTGAGACGGTAGAAAACGGCTTCCCCCTGTGAATCTGTTTCCATTTCCATGGTAGCAGCAATATGGCGCCCTTACGTGATGAAAGTTAGAAATTATCGACCCTAAAGCCAGATCCTCCGACCGCAGGTTGATTTTCTGATCAAGAGCCAACTCCTGAATCAGGCTGATGTCCGACATCGATAAGCTTGGTGGCTTTAACTGTTCGGAAGTTGTACATGTTCAAAAATACCTCCATTCTGTGTGTAAATCCGCTAGGATGTCACGCGCTGCTCAAACTTGGTCGACGCGAATTAAGACTTAACATTTCGTCTCAACCTAGTATGTCTTACGTCTTAACACGGTCGTAGTACATTATTCCTCCCTCGAAGAGACCTTAGCGGGAAGCTAAATGTTTCCCCAACGGGAATGCTTCCACCTTCCTTACTTTTCTCAGTCGTTTGGGAAAAATTCATCTCTGTAGATGTTTTCAACATCTTCCCGTAGTTCTTTCTTTATGGCAGAATCCAAACCTTTAGATATTCACCCCTGGTATTTTGCTGATCCATTAGTACCCACCCTATTTTGCATGAGGTCGAGTGAGCAACGTTGTGTTACGCTCTACCACTTTCACTTTGATAGACTATTTTCATTTTAACGTAGTGGTCGGGGTGTCGTTATCAGTGCCATGTTTTGCAGTAATGAACTGTGTACCTTGTGACAGCCGTTCTGTCAGGCAGATCTGGTATAACTGTGTCGCGCTACTCGAAACGGCTTAATACACTTTTGCCTCTAAACCAACCGGCAGTCACATTGATGGTGATTTCAACAACGGTGCGGATTATACAAATCGAGTGAAAAGTGAACTTACTGTCATCGCGTCTCTCCGTTTCTATCAAACTTTTTCGATGGCGCTCCGAGGTTCTGCCGTATCCATACCCCAATACCATATGTGTGGTGCACTGAGACCTACTGGCCTATTAGTATCGCAAGATTCTTGTGGAATCTGGGTAACAAGTTGCTTACGCGCTCCTTTCTGGAATTTAGGGAATGACATTTGCTGTTACAAAGAAACTGGAGACTGTCGTAGTGTGACTATGTACCTCCGCGACCCATTGTGCTATACTGGGAAGTGTCCGTCCGACACTAACAGAGCTTGTCATACCAGGTTGATCAATGGCTAGAGATTTGACGAGCACAGTCTCCCGGTCCCTCAGGCTGGGGACTGGAACATGTGTCCTGACTTGTTTTGTAAAAACCGAAATGCACTTGCATTTCCCGCCAAACACCGCTGCCTTGCGGCCAGGTTTTCGAGCCAAAGGCTTTGACTGAGGACCCTAAGCGTCCTCATGTCTAGGTGTGGGCGCCCTGGCAGTATCTCAGCCCTCGTACAACCCTGATACCTACATCCAACAATACTTTCATGCCACATCGGTTATGGCGTAGTGCCATCAGCCGGGTCGCCTTACTTGTTGCATACATCAGGGCAGGTAAGCGAAAACAGGCTACTACTGACGTCTTCCTCCTCACCCCTTCAAGTTTTCCCTCTTCTACCCTGTCTTACCCAAATTCGAATATTCTCTCCAACGGCATTGTTCACTGTTTGTCACACTCAGCTGCAGCTTCTGTACGTCCGACTTCAGTGACAACTCCAGACACTTCGAAATCTGTTTTCAAACCTCGAGAGCCGGTCGACAATAGTGCCTATTTTCAAGGAGAGTGCTCGCAGTGAATGTGATAACCACAGAGATGTTAGTTTGACTCCCTTGATAACAAGGCTTCGGGTGTAACTGATTCTTCGACCTCTTACGACGGCACGCGAATCCTTGACTCGTAAGCATCAAGCGGGATATCGACTGGTAGAGACTGCGTCGATCACATCTTCACACCCGCTCAGGTGTTAGAGCAACACCATATGTACAGATCACCAACAATCTTGTTATTCCTTGGCTTTGAAGGTGCTTTCAAATCTGTCGATCGTCAAACACACTTACTCAACAGGGTATGGCTTAGATGTCTGTGAACATGACTCGGTCCTATATATACATACTTATGGGTGTGTGATGGTGTATGGTGGGCTCTCCAAGGGCTTTTTCACAAAAAGTGGTGTCCAACAAGAATGTCCACTCTCTCCAGTCTTGTTCAACTTTATCAATGATGAAGTAATGAGGCGAACGCTGGTGTTCAAATTGTTGCACACGAGAACCTTGTCGATGTGGAGTACGCAGGCGACATCCCTCTCATCTTTGAAGACGAAGGCACAACACAAGCTCTGTTGAGAATAAACTGACCTCCGTCATACCATCTTTCCCAAGTTCAAAGTTATGCTTCATAACATGCAGTCTATGAACATACTCCTTACAACTGGAGGCTGTGGAAAACTGCAGTAGTTGTTGTATTCGCTCTGACGGAGGTGTGCCTGATGAAGTCACTGTACGAATCTTAAAGGCCATTATCGTTCAGCTGCAGCACCCTTTCGGTGCCTAGTTACCGTGCCACCCGAAGGTTGCACGAGGGCTGGGATACTGCCAGGTTGCCCAAGCCTAGATAGGGGAAGTCGAGAGGCAGAGGTCGGGTTCGAACCATGGACCTTCCGGTCAGTAAATTCGCACTCTAATCGCTTGAGCCATCTCGTCTCCAAGGCAACTGTAATTACAGTCTTACTCTGTGGTTGTCAAAATTAGCCCATCCTCACCGAGGATATTCATAAAGGCGTTCATGAGGCGGCAGGTGTTAGTTGGCTGCAGTGCGTTTTCAATGAAACAATGTTCGAGCGAGTACGACTAGAGCAACAAATAAAGCTCGCCATTCTTGACTTTCCTATGCACACCGAACCACCCTCTCTCAAAGAGAGCACTGTTTAATGCTGCCAAACCTTGTTGGCGGAAGACTTGTCTGGGATGTGCTGCGGTTTGATAACATGAAATTGAGGTAGATGCCGTCTAACAGATTTGCATATGGCCTTCCTGGTTGGAATCCACGTGAGTTTCCTTACACTGATTATAAACCCTACAGAATATGACGCAGCCGATCGCAGTAACGAACATACTCTCCCTTTCTAGTCAAACTGCCTGGCCAAAGTTCGTCTGCTGGTGTATGCTAGACTCATGCTGGATGCATTTAGTAAAGGACAGTGGCGTATTCCTGCGATATGATGCTCAGGTGTGTTTATCTTGCTTCTGTCTAGGCACCTTGTCCTTGATCATCTGTCCTGGAGATACCGCTGTTTGTACCAAGTCCCTACCCTTTCTGCTCCTTGCCGCTCTTTACTAGGGTACTCTTCATAGCTGTATGGCAGTTGATCACTAATATTTAACTGCTAGTTTATTTCTTTTCATGATGTTGACGATGACCACACTCTACCAGGAGTTAATGATGTTTCCTCAAACTAGCAGGAATTGGCGGAATCAGCTCTCCTCACTAGTCGGATCGGTCTTTCCTTAAAAAAACACCGCATAGTTCCACTTTTGATCAAACTATTTAGCTTCTGTCGTAGCTGAACAACCATTAACTGATGCGACGCCTCAGACTACGGTTGATGTTGTGTTGTCACTACTCCTGTCTTCTCAGACGACAAATCTGCCAATTTGGTGTTTTCATCTTTCTAAGACAGCCTTGTCGAGAAGGTGAGTACTGTGACCTTCAAACCTTACTGTCATATTCCTAACATCGAGGCGAAAAGAAGTGTCTACAGTGCTTCCGCACATCCGTTACTGCATTAGATTATGGGGTGTCGTCACGACATATTGAAAATAAAGAAGGACTGTTTGTCCGTGTTTTGTAGGAGCGACGAGCTAGTAAGGTTCCGTGTACTACCGATCAATAAGTCAACTGCTTACTCACTAAAGGATTCAAACGCACTGCACCGGTTAGGTTTCCCTAGACACGTTTTGTCTGCTGAATCCATTTATATTCCTAGGATGGCGCTAGGGTGATGAGGCACAAAATGGCTCATGTTTACTCTTTCTACAGCTCCGTTTATTATCCCATGGCCTGGTCCCTGTCCTGATTCTCGAAACAGACTCCACATCGGTACCGATGAGGTCCCCATCCCCTACTTTTTTCAGTGCTTTTATGGGCCTGTAGTGCACCATCGGCCTCAAATGTGAAGTTGGATTGTGCGGTATATTTTGCCTACTGACGGTTTATTAGTAGCCGGATTAGCCAAAGCCTCTCAAATTCACAACACCCGATATTTTTCGTTGCAGTCCCTCTGGAAACACTGACCGGTTCTGGCGGTGGTCTTCCCGGTCGCGGGGCCAACTGTTGATCTCAGACTTCCATCTTCTTACTCGCCTGACTTATTTTTGTTTGTTTTTATAATTTTGTGAATTCTACGTTGGCTTCCATATTTAATTTCTGTACATAAACTGTTCCGCTTCCTTTGCCTAACATGTTGTTTTGCACTTTGGGTTCGATTTACTTTACTTCAATAGAACCAGTTATAATGTTCCGAATGTGTTTTTAATGTTACCAGATGCCTGATATTGTGCTCCGTTTGTATTATTTACATGTTCAAGCTAAACATGAGGCTACTACGTCGAGGACCTATTTTTCCCACCCTGCGCTTAGACGGTTGGAATCCAGTGATGTAGAACCCTCAGTCCCGCACACATAGTGATATTAACTTGGTCACGTTTCGTCATTTTCAGTTTACAATCTATCGCCATGCTTCGGACTGGCGGATGATGAGCTGCTCTGGTTGGGTTGTTTTTTATTGTTGACATTCACTTAGAAAACAGTAGTTTCCCGTGTGGGTGCAATATTACAAGAAGAAACATTTTTGCATAGGTTTTGTAGCAATTACGGTTAGGTTGGATCGGCTGGATGGTTTTGACTGAAAGACAAAAGAGTTATTCCAGTTGGAAAAAGTTTACAACTAATCAGGAAATCATCGTTTTAGAAAATTTTGAAATAGAACCTTCCGAAACGGTTATTTCGGCCGTTCTGATGATGGTAGAACAGAATCACCCAAGGCTAAAGAAACGTAGTATAGTTCACTACAACATATGTTTCATTGAAATAAAGAAACCGACCCGACTAGCACACTTCTCAAGCACTATGCCGTCGTTTCTCCCTAAAACCCACGCTAAGTGTCCGAATGGTGAAGTAACACGGTACGGCAACTTCACGATTACGATGCAATTTTTCATGCCTGTAGGACTAGGCCAGAGTCTTCTTCTCTACTGACGATATCTAGCAGGAAGAGCCTGAACCCATTTGAGCCTGTTTTATGGAAGCAGTTATTCATACCTCAGTCGCGAGCTCATCTGTGAGTTCAATTACATTACTGATTGACCTACGTTACCCTGTGCTGCTGATCTGTAACTATTTAGGAGCTGTTGATGAAAAAAATGAGTTGTAGACCTGGAATTTTCATCGTGTCTTGACAGGACTATTGCTTCTGCTCAGTCGACCAAAGTTGTTCTAGAAGAAAGTGTCATGACTGCAATGGTTCACACAGCATGTTTCCCAACAGTCAAGTGGGCATAATTCAGCAAAAACACGTAAAAGTTGTTGACGCACATCGACTGGAGTTTCAGCGTGGACTATCTTCGTAAGAACCGGTTTTTCACATAGAGCGGTTGTGAAGAGTAGTCAGTTTTCACCCACTGACCAAAACGAGACAGTCTATGTTCCTTATTGGGGAGTACCTTAGCGTATATCTAACTGTAATTAACCAGATACGATAACACAATTAAGTGATACCATAATTGGCCTGGCGTACACGTGTACATCCTGTGCAACCGATTACGTGTTCATTCAGTTCGGAATAAATGACGTATTGAGGGAAAGGCTCCAAACTTGACCAAAATTAAACTTTCCCTCAACTCGTTGGTCGTTAGTCGTAGTCATCTGCGCTGATCAACCGACATTCAATACTGATCTACTCTGCAATTTCAGAGGTCTAACCGTTGGTTCTTAGTCTGTCTTGAAACACGAACCAACCTGATAACGTAGGTGGTCTGGTGAAGCTTGTGTGCTAAAACTGAAGCATTCCCCACGGATACATCTGCCGAATGTTAGCTAACCTCGTCTCAAACAGTGTGCGGTACTTTCTTGAACTTCCCGTGCTACTTGTCTTGATGATGGCTCAGTGGTTAGAGCGCGAATTTACTGACCAGAAGGTCCGTGATTTGAACCCGACCTCTGCCTCTCGACTTCCCCCGTCTAGGTTTGGTCAACCTCGTGCTTCCTTCGGGTGGCATGACAGCTAGGCACCGGAAGAGTGTTACCGCTGGAAGATTTTTTTACCGTTTCAGGTTCTGTCAACCAGCATTCAATCCCCTGGACTTTCTTGCCCGACTCAATTATACTCGGTTGGAGCAGAGATCGACCTGAAGTTGTGATTTAATAGTTGTCCCGATAACCCTGTTTGGTTACACAAAAGTCATGATGTAAAAACAGCATCAGGATTGCCTTTCAAACCTCTTCCCCTCACCGTGTAATCTCTTGTCACTGCGGCATACTGGAATGCTAGTTCCGGATAAAGCCTGGTCTTTACTGAGAGAGGTTCGGAAGATGAAGACGGTATTTGAAATTCCGACTAAAGTCATCACCCTATAACCTGAAAAAGCCGTCTTTACATGAAAGAACTGGCCTTGGATGACTCAAAGCATTGTGTCTGTCATTCAATTGGGACTCCGAGCGGTTTTGCTCACGTATGGTCAGTAGCCTAATTGATAAGTTTTAGATAGAGAACTCTGTGTTTCGAACCCGACCTCTGCCTCTCGACTTCCACTGTCTTGGCAGTATCCCAGCTTTCATGCTTCCTTCGGGTAGCATGGCAGCTAGGCACCGAAAGGGCGTTACAGTTGAACGACAAACAGAAAACTTTGAATGCCAGAATCCAAAGGCAGTCTAGTTAGATGTTCATCGTGATTCCTCCGAAGTAAAACACGATGCGCACAGAAGCGGTTTATCCTGTGGGGCAGGCAGCAAAAGACCAAGCAGTCGTTATAACATTCCTCTGTACAAACAAACGAGGGTATTCGCGCCGATTGATTAATCAATGTGGCAGATTGGGATAATGAGCACTAAGGTCAAATAGGCCTAGTGGCCGTAGCATGCCGGACAACGGATGATCATCGTCACCCTTAGTTGACCAATAACTCTACGTTTTGTGAAGCAGAATCAAGCGTAAATGAGCTAATCTACCTGGATTTTGTTGCTGAGAGACCTGTTGCAATCTGGAAACCGGTATGCGCAACACAGCCAGCGCTTCGGTTTTCGCTTGATTGTGATTCCTGGAAGTAACATAGATTGGCTCGTCAGACGTTGAGGGGTTCCAGGTAGACTGGACTCTGGGCTGCACTCCGCCCCCCCCCCATTACTAGCTAAGCTGTTTCAATTGTACGAAATGGTATCACTCCGCAACTACGCTGTTCTCACTGCACTCCCCGAAATGATCAAGAGACCCCATAGTTCTAGGCTCTTTCGTTGGCCCATTAAAGCTTTTCTACCTCAGTTAGGCTTTTCGTGTTAATTCCTTACCTAGATAAAACAGTAAATTCCTTGATCATGACCTCATACTTCGCCTAAAGTCGATTCAGAATATCTAAGTGGCTTACTCGCTCTAGTATATCGGGCTTATTTAACCCCAAGTCTGACATCTGTTTGACATCTCTTGTTTCAGGTTAGTTGTCAACTGTAAGAGGGAGAAACTTTCAACTGAATCCTAATGCTCGACAATCTTCCTATCTCATCTAGGAAAGGTGCTATGCATTTCAACATAGAATAACTACGTGCCCCCGTAAGATATTGCACCTGAGGCCGAATACCCCCTTTACGGTTGTGACAATCACCTGATGTTTCGCAACTTTTCTACCTCTCCTCAAAATTGCCTGTCGGTTAATAAATATGGTGAGGAAATTTGTGTCACCTATTCGATAACGAAGAAGATATTCGAACCGCGGGTCTCCGTAGTACAACATACTTCATAGGAGATCGCTTGTGGCGAGCAACGGTTAGGAGGTTTACTGTGTGGCATTTTCATCATCAACTGGTGGTAGTTCTAACTGAAATTTGTCCACTAACAACCGCAAGGATTTTGTCCAGCGTTTCAGTCGGCAAATCTAAGCCCGATAATCCCAATGGTGGTATCACCTCGATCGCGAGTTCACATCTATAAGATGGTTGCGGCATTCGTACTGAACGGGAGTTCCGTTGTGAGAATATAGTCAGGGAAGCTGACTCAAATGGTGATAGAAAGTAATAACATCTTGCGTATGGATAGATCTCCGTAACATCAGTATTGCACTTTCTATCACAGATATGGCTGGCGGCTGCGGATAGATGTCATCCTGACTCAAACGAAACCTTCAGGATTCTTGTGAACCGAAATTTTACTGATTCAGAATACCGGACCACCGGCTTTGACCAGTTCACATATGTGATCCAAACAAACAGCTTGGGTAACATTGCCGAACGGTTTTTACTGTGAGTTGACCTTCGATGTATCAGTGTATCAGCTAAAAAAGTGAAGCAGTGTAGAACATCCTAGGATACCCCCTCCCCGTATTTGGTGAGAATGTGGTCAAATGGGTTGTGCGCTGTGTGTGTTTGGGTTGGTTACTGGTGGGAAAGCGATGTGGACAGCAGAATTCAATGTTTCGATCACCTTGCGTGACCGTCAGTAGGAGCAAATTAATCGGAATCACAAATCTCTTGTCACTTCCGATTATCTTGCTCTTGAAGTTCGTCCACGTTGAGCTGCAGAATTCTGTTCTTTACTTTGCGTTTTTCCACTACAAATGTACCTCAACTTAGAGTATCATTCTATTACAACATAGTTAGGGTCTTATTCTCCTGAGGCAGAATGTTGTGCGGTGAATGCCACTTAGTCCGACGCCTATTTGATATTTTACCGACCGCTGTTTTGTTCAGCAGCTCTTTATGAGTGGTATTCTTTCTAACCTCATAATGAGGTTCGCTAAACCTATCATTGAACAAGTATTGTTTTTGCTAGGTGCAATCGTGAATCGTTTTGCTGCGACTTAATTAAAAAGACTCCTTTGTTTTCTACAAATTTCTCTTAGTTCGTGGATTTTCATGAGATATTTCTTCATGCCACATTTCTGGTACTTGTGTCTTTGTTTCGTCCACAAACCTCATAGACGGATACCAAATTCAAGCGTTCATAAATTTTGTTTCGGCTTGTCTCATCCGTGCCTTTTGATTGCATTTACATCTACCACCAAACTGTTTTCCCAATAGAACTTCCATCCCTCTACGAAACCAATTCTACTCGTCATTATAGTGCTAAGTGGCATAGAGTAAGGTTTACGGTAATTTTCGCGCATTTCTTTCTTACATATCAGCAATCGGAACGTCTTGTGTGCATGCGTTGCGACTACCCAGTGTCTGAGTTGTCTGGTCGGTTGTCCTGACAGCTGTATAGCCTAATACCTCGTCGCCTAGGCGACTAAAATCACCATACCTAGTTACAACTTTATCCATCTGATTTTGCTCCCGAATGAATCCGTTGGCCTTGTGTTTCTCTAGATGATTAGCGGATGGTGCAGATGTAAGCGACCAAACCTCCCACGGGACTGTGTCGAGTGAGGCAAAACGTTCAGTCTCACTTGTAGAAAAATTCTAGCGTCTTTATCACTTTGCTGCCATTTTTGAAAACAACATACATTCTACTGATGACGTCTCTGGGGAGTGTTTTCTCTCTCACAATGATATTTTGAAAAGTCCATCGGGTGATTATACGAGTATCTAGATTTGCAAAATGTGATTTCAAGTCTATACTGAATTCGAGTTAGATCAGTGGTTAGGGCTCCGATCACCACCCGAACGGTCTGCGGGTCAGCATCATGATCGCCTCTGTCTAACAGTATCTCAGCTCCCGTGCTTCCGCCGGATGACAAAAGTACTCGTAATCGAACGGCTTTCTTCTGTTGCATTTTCGCGGCTGGCCTTAGATAATACATAACTGAACTGAGAGGAATGCACTTGAGGTTCTTCAGTACATTTCGTACCCTTTTCTTCTGGTTCTGCAAGAGTCCAGAGCTTTCCCCGGCTAGCTATTTTTCGCCAGGGGTGTTTACTAGCACCTTTTCGTTCATTTTTTGGGATCCGTACATTCATGAAATGCACACATTTCGATGGACCAGAAAGCTACTGTTCGAAGTGGCACCTGACAATAGACTTGGTTTAGGTGGACAACATCGTTTTGTTATTCGACAATCACCCGCCTGTACAGTCTTCTCTAAACAGACTGTCTGAAGTGGATTCTTATTTCAGCGTGCGTTTTGCCCATTCACTTACCTGCGTCAGAAAATTTGAACTCTCTGTACACAAGGCAATTGTGCGAATAACGTTTATGTTTGCGAAACATGACCCCTGTGGTTTGTGGGCGCTACACTCCCCTCACCTTTGATCACCAGTAGTCTTTTATTACGGCAGGAGTCAGCTGGCTGCCGCGTGTATGCAACAAGGTGGTGCGTGGTTGAGTAAAAGGTAGTGAAAGAGAATCACTAGATCAGTAATACTTATCAGATTAAGGCAAAGACACCGTTTACCAAAGGAAGCGCTGTTTTTCATTCTAACCCATGCTGACGAAAGATTCCAGCAGGACAGGCCGTGACTGGCTGCGCAGGATAAAGGTGGCTATGACCCAGCCCTGGGGTCACACTTCCCTGGCTTGAGCCCACGTCATTATTCTTGAACACAAACCTTGTAGAACAAGACCGTTAACCTTGTTTATTCTGTCGCTGTCAAAACGGACTATCCGACCAAAGCTTGTATATCATAGGTTGGGTTTATGTTGAGTGGGATTTGCCAATGAATTCTAGTCAGTCCCGCTAGTTCTATCTTACCACGGCATGATGCTCAGATGTGTTTATCTCCTTGCTATTCCCTCTTCTCCATCACCCTCTCCAAATACTTTGGGTTCCTTTACTAGATTCCTACCTATTCTCTCAGCTTTTCACTTGGACATACTCCTCATGGTTGTATGACAGTCAATCACTAGTGTTCACTACTAGTCTGTTGCTCTCAGTGATGATGGCATTCCAGCCAGAATGGACCGACGATCCGTGTCCACCAGATGTGCGACAATCATAGTGGTCACATGTTTTGTCTGTCTGGTTCCAATGCAGTGTGGCAGGTTCTTCGTAATCCTTTGACATGGACACCGAGTAATACAGCCCACCTTGTTTGCGAATGATTCTCAAATGCCATCAATAGCGCACTGGAAGTCAGTCAGTATGACTGCAGAGCAAGACCGGGCTCTGGTTTTTAGGAGCCAGAGGTGGTGTAAAGATCCAAGTGAGCAACTGGGTTTGCTCATTTGGCAACAGGTCCGTTCTCGCAAGCATGAGGAGGCTTGTACAAACCGCTGCAACCCCGATAAGGTCAGCGTTGAGGAGATGAGACCAAGTTGGTTGTTTGGTCATGCATTTGACTGGTACCGCCAATATAACCTACTAAAACTTTACTTCGCATAAATCCATTTGTGGTGGAGAAAACAGTGTACAGAATAATCCACCGCTCAATCTTTTGAGTTCTTCACATCAACTGCTACGTCCGAGTGATCTTGCAACATATTTCGGAAAGAGACTGGCACCGATTTCGATCTTTTACTTGTGTAGTGTATACCACACCAGGTGTACCGTAACCGTATACTCCGTCGTAAAATTTCTATCAACTGTTTTTAAAAAGAACGCTTACTTCCGCATTCACTGATCCCTGCATCGAGCACAATCATGCGTTTCTGGGAGTAATCGCTTTTTTGGAGCCCGAAAATACAGTTCTTCTGTAGCACGTGGTTGATTGCGACTAAAGCACCCTGTCCAACCCGGTTTACTGGTCCACGCGTGGTGACAGTCTCACTTTGTCCGATAGAATGAACAATTGTTGGAAAATAACCCTAGTGTCCACCTTCCGCTTGACCCACCAAAATTATAGATCACGCCATACAGTAATGATATTTGTATATTTCTATGAGTACAAAGATAGATAAAGACAAGATAAGAAATATTCGCCCCGTAGAAAAGTATATATCACATCCGCTACTGTGTTGTGCTGGAAAAGTGGTAAGAAAGTACCCGGTCGATGTATTCGTTGTTCCCTTCAGCCTTGGCAGCATGCTTCCCACTGAGATTTGTTGTGTACCACGGCATTGTCTTGTGTTGTGTGTGGGCTATACAATTAGAGACTTGTTTCCAGCATGTATTTCGAACTGTCGGCAGATCTTCGACTGGAACTTTCAAAAGACAACCTACTCAACCGCAGTAGGGAGTCGTACTGTTTTGGATCAGGTAGTGGCATCGAACTGCATCGATTTGAGAGCAGTTTTGGGCGTCGGAGACGTAGTTGTATCAAATTGCTGGCACGGTGTGATCTATCAGAACGTGTCCGACTCGAATGAGGACGTTTCCCCTTTGCTGAGGGTTTGAGTGATCCATCTCCTATAATGCTATCAGGTCTGGCATAGATATGCTCCTCATCTTCAGAAAATTCAGTCAAGTCTTCTGTGCCATCTTCGTCTTCCTCACTGGTCGTAATAAAAGGGAATGAGCAGGTTCGTAAGTTCAGTGGTTACCCCTAATACTACTTCTGATAGCGGACAGATATAGGTTAGTTGGGTAGTGCGTTTGCAAGCAAATAATCACCCAGCGGAAATCAAAGTAAATTTTAGAGTATACTGAAAGAAGCAATGACACGCTAACTGAAACAAGGTCGCCTCTATGTAGCTTTGGCAAACTTGAGTTTGTCTAATTAGCTCGCTGGTCGGTCAATCTAGAGACAGAAGCGCATATTAACACCCAAACAGGTAGAAAAACGGAGTTCATGAATCTTAGAAGCATCCTCTAGATCTGAGCCCCCATTGCATGCTAGTATGAATCCAGCACCAGTAACATTGGAGGATTTTTTTGTTTTTAGGGATTGCTGTTACCTGGTAACAGCCCAGTAGAAGGACCGTTAATGTCCTCTGGTAACCTGTGTAAAGATTCATTCATCACGTTGAACTTGACCATTGTGTGTTCAATGTTCAACGAGGCACTCTGATGTTCACGAACTGGGCGTTATTTTGGTGTACATCCGAAAACCATACAGTCCTCGTAATTCAATGGACGATCGTCATCAGTCAGGTTCTATTGATTACTTAGTCCTGGCTGTTTGTAATTGGACGGAGAATAGCTCATGTGTATGCCGATAGAGTATACTATTGTCAAAGCAGCAAACGATTCCAAGTATGCCACATCAAATGGTTTCAGAGATAGCCCAGCCATAATAATCAATAAGCAAAGAGAAGCACACCCATTCAGCCAACAACATTCGATCAATAGCTAAGTAATGGTAATTTGCGATCGGCAAGCAGAAGGGCAACGCATGTGAACAGCTGATTTGAATAAAAAAGGGGCAATGCGATTGTGCTTGAGGTGTACCAGATATAAAAATGCATTTCAGAAATCACGAAGCTAAAAGATTACATCCAGTTAGTTTAAAGCATACCGGCTTGCTTCTCTGGTAGGGTAGACTGGCGTTCCCTGTATCCTGGATTTCACCGCGGTAAAGACTATATTTGTCATATACCTCTCCACTGACCATCCTCGTAAACTTTTTTTGAATTCCCGGACAATGGATATCCGATTTGACCTCAATAAGCCATGTCCAAGTTAACTCTCAGTATGACATTTCAAACCCGCCGGGTAGTTTGAAAGTCTGCTTTTTTCTCCACGTTGAAATATTAATTGGATAGTATACAAACAGCGAATACAAACCGTAGGAGTGGAGAATATTTTTAAAATCCACAGCCAGAATATTTATGAAAATCAATCAGTCACAAAAAACAAAACCTATGATTGTTTGTCGGCTTTGTATCTAAGCATAATGACGAAACAGCGTGTATCGAATTGTATCGTTTTTCAGTTAAGCATTCCGTAGACGTGTCATCCATACGTTTACCACTGTACAATCAGATAATATTTGCATTTACCGTGTTTGGGACTATTGAAGTTCTCGTGCACGTACAGACGCACATAAATATATCAATTCGTTAGCTTGATACGATTACCAACTAAAGCCACGCACCGTTAGCGTCGAAACTGGTAGAGCTCGGTCGTTCTGTCAGGGATCGGTAGCATCACAATTTTTACGACTTCACCTGTTTTCACTCGATTCTTACCTTGAGTCACCCAATCCGATAGCTCAGCCTCAAAATGACGATAAAGAATCATATGCTTAAACCTTCTTGTAAGATTTCCATCGCAGTTTATGAAAAGTGAAACGACTGCGCGCAAGTGCCTATACCACCAACGCTTCAAACCAATGTTGTCCAGAGTAAGCCCTACGTCATTCCTTAAGAACGCAAAAGTAAACAGCAAAGACAAATAGGGCATTCCAAGCTTAACACGTTCGTAGGGGAAACATCTTTCAGCAGTATAATCAGCTAGCATCATAGAGCTCTGAAACGCTGTTCATTCAAAATCCGACAGGTAAGTGTTGTGGCGTCCCAGATTCGCCTATGTTGTTCAGAGTATGCACCGAGGGTCTTCATTAAACCTATGTAAATCGCACCTATACTACCAGTTTGGTCGTTCATCTTTGGGGACGGGCTGAGCACTACTGGAGCTGTATGACACTCACCCTGAGAATGAATATATGCGGTTAAAAGCTGAGAGACAAGTGTTGGCTCGAATTTCCCGCATGCTGGACGGAGAAGCATATGATAGGATACCCTTATGGCTTCGCGCGACTGAACAGCTTAGGTGCTCTTAGATGTAACAAGATTAGGATCACTATCTCTCCAGTGTGCTCATTGACGGGATCTCTTCAGTTGGTGGCGAGACGTTTGCAACACTTGTTGGCACACTAACAACCAGACAACTTACTCGAGCTACCCATATTCCACAATATTAGCAATATTTCACGAAATACACGTGACTGCAAACTAATTTGGTCTTATCAGGCGACTTGACTTTAT